GGACAAAGGCACGAGCACCCCAGACCCGGAAACGCGACGCATCGCCAACCTTCCCCGTCCACAGCAGTGTGGGCGAGGTCTCTGGCAAGGAGACACGGGGCCAGAGGTTGAGCTGATGCGCGGCGTACCGGACCGCAAACGGCCACAGAAAATGGGGGACAGCCGCATGGATCATGGAGGTACGAGCGACCTCCATGACTAAGCCAATGCGGCGCTCAGCAACCCCATTCTGCTGCGGAGAGGCCGGAAGCGTGAACGTCTGGCGAATGCCGTGCTCCGCACAGTAGGCTGCCAAGAGGTCTGAGGAGAACTCACCACCTCTGTCAGAGTGCAGACGCAGGACAGGAAAGTCCGACTGGAACCGCTCGCGGAGCTGGAGACGAGTAGCGCGGATCCAGGGGATCAAAACATCAGGGACCTCCCCCTTGCTGCGCAAGAGGAAGACCGTGGTGTAACGCGTGTAGTCGTCGACGACCAGCAGGAAGTACCGCTCGTGGCCCTGTCCATGGACGCGGGCTGGGCCCCACACGTCCAGGTGGAGAGTCTGCAGGGGAGCCTCTGTGGGAGGGAACGAGGAGGAGTGAGGAGCGGCGCGCTGCCGCCCCTCGACACAGGGAAGACAGGGAGGAGCAGGCGAGGGTGGTAGAGGAGGCAGAGTCTCTGGAAGTCCAGAGACAAGGAAACGGCTGTGCATGCTACGAAGGCGCTGCACCGAGGGGTGACCAAGGCGGTGGTGCCAAAGGAGGGTCTGGTGCGACAGAGCGCGACACGAGCAGGGGGGCGCTAGCTGACCTGACGCAAACGCAGACGCAGACGCAGCTACCTGAGGGGACACAGTGGTCAGTGTGTACAGACTCGAGCCAGGCTCTCGGGTGAACGTGGCCAGGTGCCTACCAGTCCGGGAACACGTACAGTGTGTCACACGCTGACCTCCAGGGGTGAACTGGTCAACCCACACATCCTGTAGGTCAGCTCCACTCACCAAGTTCGTAGAGAACGAGGGGAGGTGAAGACCTGACAGGGAGCCAGACGGGACCGCCGGACACGGCAGGACCGTGGAGGAGTGCGCAAGGTCTGGACCCCCAGAGGGGTCTGCCAGGGAGACTGCAACCGGCCGACGGAGCGGCGTGAGTGTGGTGCTGTCGCGGAAGAAGGAGCGGGAAGCACCTGAGTCAAGTGTGAAGGTGTACACGGCCTCAGCAGGCGCAGTACCAGAGAGAGCAGACTCACCAGCACCTGGAGCAGCAGCCTCACCAGTACCAAGAGCAAGAGACGCACTCGCACCTAGAGCAGCAGCCTCACCAGCACCTAGAGCAGCAGGCTCTATACCTGGGTCAGGCGGTACGCACAGGGAACAGGCACGGTCAACACTAGTAGGCAATGCATACATGGCAGTGAGAATAGCATCATAGTCAAGAGCAAAGATATCTACCCTTTGTCCAAGCAGCTCCAGCCAGGAGGGGAGCTCAGCCTCGTCGCCAAACTCGGTACGCCAGGCGTCGCTCAGACGGGCGAAGCAGCGGGACTGTGTGTGACCAAGCGTCCCGCAAGGCTGACCGACCCGATCACCTGTGCGAATGACGTACGGGCAGCGAACGGTACTCAAAGACCCTCTCCTCTGAGCGTACCACTTGTGAAGCTGCTGGGACGTAAGTGTCTCGCGTGGACGCCGCTGCAGCTGCAGCTGGCCACTGCCAGACGCTCCCAACTGACCAGCTCCAGGGCGACAGCTACGACGGCGACCGCCACAACCCCAACTAGCGTACCACTCACTAAGCTGCTGGGGCGTGAGAGACTCGCGTGAACGTCGCTGGAGCTGCATCTGGCCACCGCCAGTAGCAGTAGTAGCAGCAGTAGCAGCAGCAGCAGCAGCAGCAGCAGCAGCAGCAGCAGCAGCAGCAGCAGCAGCAGCAGCAGCAGCAGCAGCAGCAGCAGCAGCAGCAGCAGCAGTAGCAGCAGCAGTCTAGCAATAGTAGTAGCGCAGGCAGGGCAGGCGCGGCAGGCAGGCAGGTAAGTGCTCACCAGTGGCAAGAAGGGCAGGCTCACAACGGCGGCGACGGCGGGGCCGCGACAGCTGCGGCAGAGCAGGACCGCGTCGGAGGAAGGGCAGGTCCGCGACAGCTGCTGCAGGGCACGGACGTGACGGCGGCAGAAGGCTCCACGGCAGCTGCTGCAGGGCAGGGTCGCGACGGCTGCAGGAGGCTCCGCGGCAGGTGCTGCAGGGCGGGGCCGCGACTGCGGCAGGGCGCTCCGTGGCAGCTGCTGCAGGAGCGACGGCGGCGTCCAGTGGCAGCCGCGGCGCGCGGGGCTGCAGCGCGCCACGCGAGCTGCAAACGCGGCGCGCGAAGCCGCCGCGGGCTGCGCGAGGACGGCAGCCGCGGCGCGCGGGGCTGCAGCGCGACGCGCGGGCAGCGATCGCGACGCGCGGCGCTGCAGCGCGACGCGCGGGATGTGGGCGCGACGCGCGGGGCTGCAGCGCGACGCGCGGGCTGTGGGCGCGACGCGCGGGGCAGCGAACTGGCGGGGCGGCGCCCTGGCCTAACGGGCCTGCAGGGGCGGCGCGCAGGCCTGACGTGTCTGCAGGCGCGGCGCGTGAGCCTTACGGGCCTGCAGGGGCGGCGCTCTGGCCTAGGGCAGCAGTGGGCAGTACGAGGGCTGCAGGACGGCGCGCGCAGCGCAGCACGTCACAAGGCAAGGCAGGCAGGCAGGACAACACGTGGGGTAACACGGTAACCGCAACGGTAGGTGGGCCCGAAAAAAAAACGGTCCTACGGATCTAGTGCTCTGAAACCATGTCAGAATCAAGCAGCAGGAATGGATGAACTATGAAAGAGTTGGTACAAGTATGAAACCCTAAAAGGGGCTGTACCCCATATTGGCTACCCCACTACAGCCTACACATATATAACATGCATATGCTTTGACACCTCCAGCTCCTACAGCACCAGCAGCACCTCCACCACTCCTAGTAGCACGAGTAGCAGCAGCAGCAGTAAGAGCAGCAGGGCGGTGCGCGGCCAGAGCAGGGCGGCGCGCGGCCACAGCAGGGCAGTAGTAGGCAGTAGCTCCTAGGGCAGAAGCACCTAGGGCCCTTTTTTTTTTTTTTTTTTTTTTTTTTTTTTACAATTTAATTATATTTAGGGTATAGCAGGGCGCTGGCGCAGGGCAGGGCGCGGGCGCAGGGCAGGGCGCTGGCGCAGGCTGCAGCAGTGCGTGACGCGAGGGGCAGCAGACCGCGACGCGACGGGCTGCCTTAGGGCGCGACGCGCGGGCTGCAGCAGAGCGCGACGCGCGAGGCAGCAGCGCGCGACTCGTGGGCTGCGTTAGGGCGCGGGCTGCAGGGGCAGGATGCACGGGCTCCAGGGGCAGTGTGCGGGCTCCAGGGGCGACGCGCGGGCTGCAGGGGCCGCGCGGACGGGCTGCAGAGGCGACTCGCGGCTCGGCAGGTCCGCGCGCGAGCTGTAGGGGCGGCGCGAACGGGCCGCAGAGGCGGCGCGCGGGCTCCAGGGGCGACGCGCGGGCTGCAGGGGCCGTGCGGACGGGCTGCAGAGGCGACGCGCGGCTCGGTAGGTCTGTGCGCGGGCTGCAGGGGCAGCGTGAACGGGCTGCAGAGGCAGCGTGAACGGGCTGCAGGGGCAGCGTGAACGGGCTGCAGGGGCAGCGTGAACGGGCTGCAGGGGCAGCGTGAACGGGCTGCAGGGGCAGCGTGAACGGGCTGCAGGGGCAGCGTGAACGGGCTGCAGGGGCGACGTACGGGCTGCAGGAGCGACGTACGGGCTGCAGGGGCAGCACGCGGGCCACAGGGGCAGGCGCGGCTGCAAGGGCAGCACGGTAGCAGGGGCGAGCACGGCTGCAGGGGCAGCACGGTCGTAGGGGCGAGCACGGCTGCAGGGGCAGCGCAGTCGCAGGGGCAGCGCACGGGCTGCAAGGGTCGCGACAGTGAGAGCTAGGGGCGCCAGCGCGCTGGCTACTGTGTAGGGCGTGGCGCTACCACTAGGCGGAACGGTGGGCCCATGTAGGAACGGTTCCTACTCTGATAACATGTCAAGAATAGAACTAGGAATGAATGATTGAACTAGGCAAGAGGTGAGTACAAGTAGAGGAAACCTAACCCTAAAGTGTTGTACTCACTAAGGAGTGACCCTACTGTAGCCTAGAGATACAATTGTAATCTGACACAGTGCACCCATAACCCCCCAGTCCAACATGCCTGTAACCCTTCCCTAGGATCAATCGGGGATCACCAGTGGACCTCTGACACCCCCCCGCACTGGGATGCCCGAAGTGCACACACTGGGATTCGAACCCGAGACCTTCGCTCTGATAGCATTTCAGAATCCCAACCACTAGACCATTGGGATCAAAGGGCTTGTTAAACAGCGGGTTAGTGCGACCATAACCCCCCAGGCCAACATGCCTGTAACCCTTCCCTAGAATCAATCGGGGATCACAAGTGGACCTCTGACACCTCTCTGTCGTCTGGTTCGTTGACTTTCGCAGTAAATCCCGCCATGGTCCTCGAGAGTCAAACGAAGCAAAAATGGATGTGGACTCGCTGCAAAATTGAAACCGTCACATTTTAAACAATTTAAAAAATAAAATTATACACTAGCTTAAAATAAATCAGGGTTGTTAGGGAAGTTCGCTTTTAATTGGGGTTCCGGCCATAAGCATAGTGCTCCAGATAATATCCGAGACCATACGGTACTCAGCATGGTTCTCGAGAACATTCCATGTTGGGTGTGATTCAACATACTGGCACATGTGTGTAGTGCAATTTTGTCAGTTATGGTCATTCATATCCGAATATGACATGTATATCTTCTAGTGTTTCTAACACTGCAATTCCTACTGAAGCCCCATATATCAACATCGATTCTTCATTACCGCAAACCAGCTACATAAAGGTAATTGGGCGTATCCAACCCTCTTGTGCTTGGGTAAAAAATGTCTGCACTGCTCCCTCCTGCTATGGGAAAAACGGTCTGGACTGCAACCTATCACTCCTTCTTCTCCCTCTCCCTCCCCTCCTGCTGTCCAGCCAAGCAGAGAGGGTAAGGCAGCAGCGAGCAGAGGGGGGTGGGGAGGTAACGACAGAAAGGGAGGGAGAGGTAGGGCGGGGCAATGGCAAGAAATGCTGCGAAGAGTGTGAAGGAGAGGAGGAGGAGGGAGATGGGTAGGCCAATGAATGGGTAGAGCGCTGGGGCACGGTGCTGGAGGGGCAGGTGCATTGTGAGCATCCCACTCTCTAGTGCTTCCCTGCGGTGGGTGAGTGGGGCGAACACAAGAACCACGGGGGATGGGGGATGAAGGGACAAATGGTTGAATGTGTGCGGAAATGAATGAACGGATGGGCAAATGGGTAAACGGGTGGGGAGACATTTGGAGGCATAATCTTCCAGAAGCAGGAAACACAGCCACTGCAGCAGGAGCACACACAATGCAGCAAGGGTGCGGTAGTGCGGGGAGACAGCACCCAACACACTGAGGAGAAAATTCGTGTATACTGCCACATGTGGAGCAGACATGTTGCAACAGCACATGTCTTGTGCTTCAATCATTCATGCCCACAGTAGCAGCAGCACGCACTGTGCATCAAGGGTGCGGTAGTACGGGGAGACCACACCCGAGACCCCAATGGAGGAGCAGCGCAGCAGTGTGAGCCCGTTCTCTGCTGCCCTCACTGCATCCGTCTGGAGTGTCACGTGGCCAATGGCGCCCCACGTCCAGCTGGGCTGCAGCAGAATGTCCACTCTGTGGGTGGAGGGGAAATGGGGAAGACGGATCAGCAGGGTGGCTCGTGGCACAGCTACGGCGCCCCACGTCCAGCTGGGCTGCAGCAGAATGTCCACTCTGGGGGTGGCGGTGGGTGATGATGGTTACCGTAGGGATGGGAGAAAAGTGAGAATGGGTTAGCACAGGAGTGCCTCCATTGGCCGTTGGCTCTCCTTTAAACCTCTTGAAAGTGTCTCCAACATCACAGGGGGGCGGGAAGGGGGGGGGAAGGGAGGGGGGGGAGGGGAGGGAGGGGGGGAAGGTCAGACCCGACTCACCACTCACAGATGCACCACCTTCAACAACAAGTCGAGGCCGGGCTTTGCACACACATGCATCCACTCACCCTTGTCTGCCCGCCTGGCGGATCAGCGCAGGGAACTGCATGTCAAAGCAGACGGCCACAGACAGCCTCCCCAGAGGCGTGTCCACCACGGGCAGAGACCCGGGACCGGGTTGCACGTTGGCCTCCAGAGGGAAAGAGGTGCGTCTTGTTGTAGCGCAGGATGGGGGCGCCGCTGGGGTCGATGAGGGCGAACGTGTTGGTGACGAGATTAGGGGCAATGAGCTGAGATGAGGGAAGGGATGGGGGTGAAGGGGACAGGCAGGGGTTTGGAGGCAATGGGAGGAAGGGGCACAGCAGTTGTAGCAAGGGCAGCGCGGTAAGCAAGGAGGTTGGGCTCTTCATGGGCGTGATACGAGCAGCAGAGCCATGGACGAGAACTCCGGGTCTGAGTCTGAGTCTGAGTCCAAGTTTGAGACTCTGGGAGAGTCTGAGTCCAAGTATGAGACACAGCAGGAGGGCACTGCCTGCGCCAATGCGTCTCCCTCAAGCTCTCAACGTATGAAGCTATCAATCCAGCACACATACACCTGTGAATCCGTGTTGTTATGGAAATCAACACCCGCACCTTTACGAATGAAGCACCCAAGTATGGCCCAAGAGTTGATGGAGTTGCATCGTCCCCAACAGCAGTGGCAGCGGCGGCAGCAGTTGAAGTAGCAGCAGCGGCAGCGCGGCTGGTGCTGGCAGCAGTGGCGATGGCAGCGAGGTCAGCCAGGAGCTTGGCCTCCCCATGGTCGTCCAGGATAATGACAGGTGCCTCTGACCACAGGATAAACACGTCGCCTGCTCTCGCTCTCTGCTGCGTCTGCTGCACCATCCGTGCTATGCCTGCCACCCGCCATGCCTCCCACTTCTCCCACGCCTCTCTTGCAGCTGCTGCTGCTACTGATGCTGCTGTTGTTGATTCTGCTGCTTCCCCAGCTGCTGCTTTGGCTCTTCCCGTTTCTTCTTTCTCTGCTACTGCTGCAGATACTTCCCCTTCCGAAACTCCATGTTGACACTCTCCCTGCCCCCCCCCGTTCCCCCCTTCTCCCCCATCTGCCCCCAGCCGCATTGAAAGAGTGGGAAAATGCGTGGAGGCGTTAGCAGCTGTATGCTGGCAGAGCGAGGGCGGAGGTCGGGGGGGGATGTTGTTGGTGGGGGCTTGCGAGAGGATGCAGGAGACAGGCACCGAGGGAACAATGGTTGCTTCTAGCGGCTGCTGGAAGAATCTGAGAGGGAGAGGGAGAGGGAGAGGGAGAGGGAGAGGGAGAGGGAGAGGGAGAGGGAGAGGGATAGGGAGAGGCAGATGGATCAAGACTCTTGAAGATGTATGAATCTGAGGAAAATACGATGGGTGGATGGTTCAACAGAATACAGAAGCGAAGTGAAGGAAAGGGAAAAGGAAGGGGAGAAGGAGGGGGGGGGGGAAATGACGGGAGTTAGTGAAGGGCAGTAAAGAGTGAGCAGTTCGTTGTGCAGTGCAGCAATAGTACCTGGATGAGAACACAATCTCTCTCGCTGACCCGGCAGCCATCAGCACCACCAGCAGTGCCACACTCGCTCGCACATGGTCCCACCCGCTGCTGCCTCCCCCAAGCCTGTTGCTCCTCCCATCTGCACCTTCTCCCCTTTCCCCACCTGCTACTTCTCCTTCTCCTCCTCCTTCTACTCCTACTCCTCCTCCTACTCCTTCTCCTCCTGCTCCATTTCGCATTGCACTAACACTATTACGGCCCTCACCGCACACTTGACTGTCACCCCCCTCCCTCTCTCCCTCCCCGGGACACCTCACATGCCCTTCCCCTCTCCCGCCCCCCTCCTCCCCAACCACCCCCCCACTCCCAGCCCGACTCTCACCCCACTCCCCCCGCCTCCACCCCTCCTCGCCCCTCCCCACCGCATCCCCCTCAAACATCATCTGGTGAATACCCCCCACCAGCCAGGCCACCAGCAGCAGGACACCATCCATGCCGACATATGCCGTGGCTTGCACGAGTGGTAGCAGGGAGCACAACGAGTAGAACGGGTGGGCTGTGGCACCAAAGGGGGAGAGCAGCGAGAGGAGGGTCCAGATGGAGGCGGAGACGAGGGGGAAGACGAGCGGATGCAGGTGTGATGAGTGCCTGTGGTGGGGGGAGGGGAGCGGGAGGAAGCGGGGAGGGGAGGTTGGGCACAGGAGGGCGGAAGTGAATTTCGAGTCAGACTCAATATGTGGCGGAGTGAGTAGAAGAGATGGGGCGGAGGGTCCAGATGAAGGTGGAGTAAGAGGGAAGACGGGCGCGTGAATATGCAGTGAGATCCCGTCACGTAAGGTTTGGGGCAGGTGGGAGGAGGGGGAGGGGGAGGGGAGGAGCGGAGGGGGGAAGGGGAGGGGGAGAAAAGGAGGAGTCAGCGTGGCATGCGACACCACATACCAGCAGAACCATCACGCTGCCACAACTAGCGGCACATTCGTGCATGCTAATTCCTCCCCTCACCGAAGATCTTCGGAAGTGAGTTTGGCCCGGCATCGCGAAAAAGTGTGGACACCAGAAATGTGCACAGATGCTATTCTTGCGAGAAGCTTCGGAAAACTTTTTTATAGTCGAGCTAGCGAGTCAGCGTGAGATGAGACGAGCTTGAGGATCCTCAAAACTACTACTAGTGCCATACGCTACCACAAACTACTAGTAGTACTACTAGTGCGAGGCTCTCACCTGTAGGTGAAGCGGAAGAGAGAGTCAGCGAGGCATGGTAGCACGTTGGCAACCGCGATCTGGCTGGAGGCGAGGATGTTGGCCGTCAGGTCCATGGCGTACATGCTCGCGTACGCCACTGTCGTGCCGCACGCCTGTGAGGGATGATGATAGTGAGCGAGAGCACAGCGGAAGTATATCGTCACTGTGGCTTGTGAGGCGTCACACGAGAGAGGTGTTGCTGTGTGATTGATCAGTTGCGACGTGGTTTTCTGCATGCGACGCGCTGTGCTGCTGCTCCTACCTGCGTCGCGACTACGAGGACGGTGAGTGTGATGAGGTTCCGCCACGGCCGGTCGCCCACGCGCGCTGCGGAGAAGAAGCGGAGCATCAGCAGCTGCAGCCATGCCGCCGGCAACACCTCCTGCAGCTCGGTGAACGCGGCACATATCGAGGCGCCCACAAGCAGGGCCAAAAAGTGGGATGCACCGCGGCGGGGCTCGTCGTTTCTAGTACTTCCGTCGGCGAAAGGGCCGCCCTTCGCCATTGGTGACGAGAGGCAGCGAACTATTAACTTTTTGCAGACAGGGAGCCGTGTTGGGGCATGGGCATCACTTCGAAACCAAATGGACTTGAATTTGACTCTCTGAGAGACGTGGGATTTACAATACATTTGTTAGCGACAGGGCAGCCGCTTGCCCTGGTGAATCGCTGTATCCCTGTTCCACAAGGCAGCCTGGCACAGCGTGGAAACGGATTTTCTGGGCTGCTCCACAAAAAGTCAACGATTTTGCAGCATCGCGGCACATTCCTCGAACGGCATCAAAAGTGCCTGGAGAACCCGCCTCCGCTTCGCTTTGGGCCCAGAACTTACAAGGCCGAGGTGCCCTGAGGTGCCCAGAACTCTCAGGGCTACACATCCTTCTGCACTTAGCGCAAACACATCGTGATGTTCAAAAACACCTAAGGACGTGGGGCAGATCTGGGCGGTCTGATCGCCCCGATCTGCTACTACGTCCTAAGTCCATCTATAATGGGATGGGGTGTGAGAAGGAGAGTTGTTCTACATAACCAGGGGCATAACAAGAGAAACGAGGGGATAGGGGGGTGTGTGCGGACTTTGAGCGTGTTCGTGAATTCGGGGTTGGGAAACGGGCTGGCGTCGAAGCCAACCCTTGATTTCTCTGGGTTGGGCCCGAACCAGCACTTGAGTTGACCGGTACAAAGGGCAATTGCCCTGGTAGCGACAGGGCTGCTTACGTCAAAGCGAGGTAGGTATACATTGCGCCTCAAAAACGGTAGGTATACATTGCCAGTACAGAACTGCCGGGTTCTAATACACAAAATGATTGCCATTTTAGGTTGCACCGTCCGAGTCGCCGATCAGCCCCCCCTCCCCCCCCATCTTCCCACCAGGCCTCAGGACTTCAGGGCGTTTTACCCTAATTAGTCTGTTTTTCTCCGCCGGTTTTCGCCGCCGCACTGCTAAAACAGCATTCTCGCTTGTACCACTCTGTCCACCGTTGACAGGGCTAATTACAACCCTGCTTATCAGATTGCGAAGTCACTTTAAAATCGATGAAGTAAAAACGAGTTGGAGAGACAACAGAGCGGGAGCCAGCAAGTAGAGCGGGGCCAGGTGGGATGGGAGCAGACCAGGACTCTCGAAGGTGGCAAAGGGTCTCCTAAGCACCTGAGCAGGAACCTTTATCGACTTCTCTCTTTGCTCCTCACAAGGATAATTCTGTAGTGAAGGCGAGCTTGCCTCCTTTATGTTCTCTTTTTCAGGCCACAACCCGCCAAAGCCTTTCTTTACGAAATTTGTTTACAGCACTTCCAGTTCCGATAGGGTGAACGAATCATCCCGCGATGTCTCGACAAACCTGCGCCTATCACACTGCAACGGCAGGGTGTACCTCGTTGGCAACCCAGTGTTGTCAATGAATCGAGAGCTTCCACTCTGACCACATTGCCGGGTAGGTGGCATTTGAACCAGGTGAGTGGTCGCCCCGACCACATTGCCGGGTAGTGAGGCCTCAAACACTCATGCCGGGTTTGTTGGATCCGAGGCCCAGTTCGGCTGGCGTTAAAAAAACGGGCGAGGGGGTGGGCTACAGTGAAACGACCACCCTGGAAGGTTCCTGGATAAGCGCATGAAAGGTTATCAAGGCTCGGATAGGCGGATCTACGCCGAATCTCACAATAATGGGATGCCAGCCGAACAGACCTTTTTTCGATGGCGTTTCCAACCCATTGAATGTTCAACGACACCATTCTCTCTAGCAAAGTGCCCATTTTCTGATCCGCCGCACCATGCGGCCTCGAGGTCCCGCACCATGCGGAGGATCAGTGATTCGGGGCAATCAAAAGTGTCTGGTCAAGTATGCCAGCCAATCACATGATCACATGATCCATCCGGGCAACTGCCTACCAGCTTCTACGAAGATAAATTTCGATTGATGCCATCAACCTAAACCAAATTAATGCCAACCGAACACTCAACCCCGTTTTTTCGAAGGTGCACTACAGCTACAGTCCGATTTCGAAGCAGTTTCTAGAAATGCCCAGGCGGCATTTTTTGGGGGCCCGTTAAAAATGCCCATAATGCCAATAATGGTCACAATGCTATCCGAACTGGGCCCGAATATGGTGAAATTTGTCAAAATCAAAGTCACGACGTCTTGCGACTTAACAAGATGGTTGAAAAGGTAATTGAGAAATTTACGCACACCTTCGAAGCACCTACAGCGCAATTACCACTCAGCTTCCCTACAGGCTAGGCGAGCTATGACGAGAGTCAACAACTCACTGAACCAATGGATTTGCAATTCTTGACATTTAGAGAGATTTTATCATGGGAAAGTACATCCCAGCTCCTTCGTTCCAGGATACTCTCAAATTTAGTTCCAACTTTACCCAAAAAATCTAACTTTGTGGAATTTCGCTCACGCGAGGCCCAGATTATGTTCAAAACTGGTCCTGCAAGGCAAACATTTCGACGCGTGTCCATTTCGCACCAAGAATTTTTTTACGGGGCAAAAAACATAATACCCCTAGGAAACAGGACAAATTTCGGGAGGGATCAACCCTAAACACCAGGCGGGTTCCCGTGTTTAGGGTTAATCCCTCCCGAAAACAATGTCCTGGTTTCCCTAGGGGTTTTATGTTTTCTGCCTCGTCAAAAATTCCCATTGTGAACTGAACACGTGTCAAAAGGTTGGCCCCGCATGACCAGTTTTGAACATAATTTGGGCCTCGCGTTACCAAAATTCCACAAACTTAGACTTTTTTAATAAACTTGGGGTTAAATTGGAGATATTTTTGAAAATATGGAGCTGGCATGTACTTTCCCTTTTATCATTCACTAGCTCAAATAACTCGTCCCAATCCGGTTGGGTTGGTCGGTTGACCTGGGCTCAGTTCGGCAGCGAGGGGAGAAGAAAAAATGTAGGAAGATGGGAGGAAGGTAAGGCGCAGGTCAACCCAGGGTCAACGAATTTTGACCCTGGTTTGACCGCTCCGCGGTCAGCCTGCGCCACGGGGGAGCTGGCGCAAGGGTCTGGGGGAAATTTACGAGACATCCTGCGACCAATTAACTCGTCACCACAATTTCCCCGCAATCCCATCTCTCAACACACATCCCCATTTTACTAGAAACCAATTTCTACATATTTTTATGATGTTGCCCATCTCGATAGGGAAATTCCGTAATTCCTTGTCAAACCCAGGAGAATTGGAAGGTTGGTCGCGCGAGGTTTGTTATATAGGTAACCCTGACATATAGAGGGATGTGCTCAAATTTTAGAGCAGCCCTTATTCTGGAATAAGAAAGTGATTCTTGCACTCAGCAAGAATCATTTTTTTTCTTTCGTCTCACTAGGGCGGAAGCTTTCCGCCAGGGTGGGGGGAATAAGGCGGCGCGGAATCAATTTTAGGTGGTGTTCGCGTCGCTGCTGTAAAACACATGCGCCTCGGTTTCCGAAAAAATAACCCTACAACTCGCACTGTACAGCCCTCGATAATCGATTGAAAGCTTCATTTCGAAGCTTCCAATTTTTCTTCCGTCCTTCTTCCGTGGCTGTCGAACTGAGCCCTGGTCTAGATTTGCGACGCAGCCTTCATAGAAATGAGGGATTTGGGGTGTTCGACCCGACCTCTTTGGGTCGCAAGTCAATATAGCAACAACCGCTTTGCACGCGACACATTTTTCAATTGTATCGTAGCCTACACATCCCCTCTAAAAGGTCGAAATGTGGCCAAAATTCGACCCCAATTACACACGCCGTAACATCGGCATTCATGTTCGACAATATCGACGATCAGTATTACGAGAAAATTAAAGAAGAATGCACTATCTAAGCAAAACAATCCAATGAGCGAAGGCATGAACGAATGTTATATAGTGAAGGTCTTTCGGCAACGGTAACAAGCTTTCAAAAAGGGTGCCCAATAGGCTACGAGTTACCAGCCGAGTGGGGTGGTTCGGGCGCGATGGTGGTGTTGGCGGGAATAGTGCCGAGATGAGTGTCGCGGGGTAGTAACGGGCTATCGTTACATATACGGTGGCGTGAAGAGTCGTGTACGTGGTTTGCAGTGTGACACGAAGTAAGGGAAATTCGCTTTCTTACTATCATATTCAAAAGCGGAGGGTTGGGATTCGTCGCCGTTCCTCAAAATTATGTCAAAGCATGTCGACAATCACATCGGATTGTCAGAATAATGAACGAGAATGTGTGAACTAACAGCATGCAGGAGTACAAGTAGCAAACCTTAATTGGGTTGTACCCCATATGGGCTACCCCACTACAGCCTACACAACATGATAGTTTGACACACCCCCATAGGCAAAGTGGGGGACAACAAGGGGTCACAAGACCGGTCAAGAAAAGCAAAGCAAGCTCAGGGTGGATCACGAAGTCACCACACACTCTGAGCACAAGCAAATGGCCACAAGGCCAGTTCACATGCATAGTTATATAATGGAGAGCAAGCAGTACAGTGATCACAACCTAGCAAGTGCAAGCATGCAGGTATATATATATAGATCACAGTACAAGCAAAGTCAAGAAGTGAGCAAGTGAGACCTAGTAGGCACAAGGCCTAGAACAGTACAGAAACGCTGATGATCACAAGGCTGAAGTGCCTTGGTGAATATATCAACAGTGTTGGCCCGAGAGGCCACGTGAGGAAGACGAAGCTGACCACGCTGCTACAACTCTCGTGCAAGGAAGTAACGCAGAGCGATGTGCTTCGTCCTGTGCTCCAGCCTGTGCTCCTGACACAAGGCAACCATGGCCTTGTTGTCGACGTACAAAACTGGAGGAGAACGAGGCGGCTCTCCCAAGTCGGTCAGCAGGTAGGTAAGCCAGCGTAACTCCTGTGCAGCCATGGCCCCTGCATAGATCTCAGCCTCACAACTGGAAATGAGAACAGAAGACGAGCGGGTAGA